CCTCCATGTGAGTATCGATCAGTATCATAATAGACTAATACTGATAACCATTTTTGAAGCCCAACCGCACCCCAAACCAGGTGCACAAATCTGCCGCCGTCGCTCCCCGTGTTTCACCTTTAATTACGACCTCATGCATTGCCCGAGCCATTCCTAGTCTGGAAGCCAAATGAACGGACCTTCACTTCCTACGAATATTCACCAGCATTGGCCTTGAAATCCCCTAGACTTCTCTCTACTGTCGTCTTCATGGCTTCGGAGCTTGTCATAGTTACGTATGGAATGAGAGAGAGAGAGAGAGAGAGAGAGAGAGAGAGAGATAAAAGAACGGAAAATAGAAGATAAAAAATAAAAATAGTGTAAATACTTTTTTCCAACAAATTGTTTATATTTTTCTGAGATATTTTGTATCACCCAGTCAGTCACATAAATGCTTGTGTAATCTCAATTATTTTCGTCTTTTCCTTTTCTTCTGCCTACAATGGTCGTTCCTCACCACGTATGGCGGCTGCTGGAGTATTCAACGGACATCATTTCCGTAAAATGTGATTCTCTAATTTTGGATAAATAGTGTTGATGCGGGTGTGTTGAAAAGAGTGATAAATTTTGCTTTTGTAAGAATTTTTTTCTGCTTTTAATTTCATTTTGAGGACACACACACACACACACACACACACACACACACAAAAATACACAAAATACATATCTTGTATAAATTCACTGTGTCCAGACGTTTTTCCCGTCATAAAAATTGCAAAATGATGTCTATCAGTAAACCAAATAAACCAAAGCAAAGTCTACACCCATTCCTAGATTCTCCACTTCCTATAAAAAAGGAAAACGAAGTAAAAAAAACAAACAAAAGATTCTCAGCTGATCATTTTATTCTCAACATCTAGGAAAATGTGACCAGAGGAAACGGAAAGCCTTTCATTCAAGGAACAAATGAAACAGGACAGATAGACAGCACTTTTGACTGGTTCACAGGTCAGGCCGAAACTCCGAAGACACACACGGCAGTACAGCTCAGCCTTGCAATGAGAGGAGGTGCAATGTGTGTGCAACAATTTTATTCTCTTTCTTTCTTTTTCCCTTTTTTCTGTTCTCTATTTCCCTCATTTGTTGTTTCCTCTTTTTTATTATTTTATTCTTAAAAATTATTTCTTTCAATCTTCTTTTTTTGTTTTCTTTGTTTTCTCTCATCATTTCTCTATTCTCCTTTTTTCTATCCTTATCCCTTCTTCTCCTCCTCTTTCATACTTTCTCCTTGCCCCTTTTCACTCTCTTCTTATTCTTATTCACAAGGTTTGGCTGAATGTCCTGTGTGTCTTTAGCATTTGGTCCAAAAATCATCATTTCAAGAGATAAGAATAATAAATAAAAAATCAAGCCATCAGCTGGTGGAATATTTCTATAAGACGAAGCTCTGTCTTGCAAGAAATCTAGACAATACTGATCTAGAAAGTTTTTAATAATCTTCTAGACAAAAAATCCTGTCATCTTTTTTGCAAAAATTTCCTTCAGCATAAAAAGTTCCTCTACATATATTTCGATGCACATGCAACTTAAAAATTACAGAAATATGAAAAGAGAAAAAAATGTTTATTAGATCTACAAACCACGATATGTATCCAACATTAAATATTACATATGATATCTTTGTATAAATATTGATTGCATTATACTAAAGTGTTCATATTGTACATGTACATTTCGACTTCCAAAGATTTTTTTAAATAGTTTTTTATCATACAGACATTATTGAAGCATTTCAAATAGCTGAGATTAAAGCAACTTAGTGAGATACAATGAGTTAATTACATTATCATCATTAACAGTATTCTAAAAAATCAAACGACTGCATGCATCTATGAATGATAGAGAGGTTAATCAACTAAGTCCAAGATACTGTGATGATTGCCAGTAATTACAGCAGAAAATTATGTCACAATTAAAAATCTAAAAATAAAAAAGACGCAAAAATATACAAGTATTCACTCAGTGTTCTTTCAAAAAAAAGTTAGATCACGAGTGATTCAATGATATAAATAAATTGAAGGTAAATAAATACATAAATAAAATCAATACTTTGTTGGCTTGTTGGCCTCCGATGAGAAAGACAATGAGAAAAAAAATAACACAAAGAACAGAGGATTAAA